CTATTGTACCTGCCCGCGTGATTATGATGATGGAGAATTTGGTGGAATGAAGATTGGCAGGGGAAACGGAAGTACTCGGAGAAAACCTGCCCCAGCGCCACTTTATCCACCACAAATTCCACTTGACCAGACCCGGGATCGGGAAGCCAGCGACTAACCGCTTGAGCTATGGCGGGGCCTTCGTGCAGTCTTTAGTTCGAATGCATAAACGGACTTTTTATGAGCGTATCATTTTATCGCGCATACAGGCATGTATGATAACATAGCTCGGTTCCTGCTACACACAAGTTATACGTAGTGTGCGCTTATGTGCCTCTCTCCATTGTATGGTCCTGAGGGGAAGAGACAACGTGGAAAATCTAGACATAGATAGCGGAAGATATTAATTTGGATATGGGACGGTGAGGACGAGATTTAGTCTAGGTCATGGCGTGCTAGTAAAGATACTTCAAGGAAGAGATTACACCGTACTTCAGGGAGATAACTAGATGAAGGTTTGTGATACTAGCATTGTGCTTTTGTTAACAGTAGCGGACTGTCCATCTGTAACTCAGAAGTTCGCATCACCAACTGCTGTTGCCACAGAAAACACTTCCATTGATCAACTCTTATACACTACAACCCTCGAGCGACGCTCTGAAGTCAAGTTTATATTCATTATGCGCGCCATGGACTTCAGAAGTTCTGGGAAGAATTCATGCAATAATAATAATAATAGTAATAATAATAATAATAACAAGAAGAGCTATCCCTGTAACAGGCCGTGGAGGCCCATAGGATTGTGAGACATCGAGGCTTCCACATTTTCTAAACATTCGGTTCACAGATTGCGGTGAGGTCGTCAGCCTTACGCGCTGGTCACCCTTTACTCCCAGGAAAATTCGTGGTACTCATTTCTGTTAGAGGCTGAGTGGACCCCAGGGCCATAGTGCGGCTGGAAAGATAAGGTTAATTGAAAAAAACCAGTGACCTCATCGGAAATCGAACCTGCGACCTTCCGACTTGTAGCATAGTGCCTCACCGCGTGCCCCTAGACGGGAGAGGACCAGTTGCAGTGAGGCCCCTGCTGTCTCTGAAAAACAGGCCCCATTTCAATACACGTAAAATATGGTCATGGGTCCCGACGATACCCGAAACCGAGATCGACTGTGCTGACGAGGGCCAGAAGCAATTTATTATACCGAATTTTTTTACCTCTGTAGGATTAAAATCGGGGATAAACGGATTTGAAGAACATAACATTACGCAAATAGCGCCTGAGATGGTCTGCATTTCCCCTGTGTTCTCCGGAATTCCGCCAATAAAGTTTCAGACGTCCAGCCATAACCTTAGGTAGATTCTGAGTGACAGATTTTGTTTGCTATGAGACTTTGGATGCAGCGTTACTCTGATTGGCTGGTTGAAGTCCCAGTGCTTCAGTCGGGGTACACGTCATGTTGCAGACTTCACATGCAATCACAGAGCGCAGTAACAGTAGGGCTTGTAGGGCCCCGGTGTGACCCCTCATTAGTGGGCATTGTAACTCAATCCACTGTCTGATTCATTTGTGGTCTCCTTCATATGGCATTGAGGTGGGTGGGGGGGGGGCAAATAACGATGAAATTACCGAGTATTTTGTTAAAATGTAACTTCAGTTCCGATGCAAACAAATTCATGCCTCAATGGAACACACATCACACTTTATTTTCGAGATCTCAGGTTTTCACCGCAGTTACTGTTAGGATTGCCGTATTGTGGGATATAACGACGTTTCAGAGGAAAATAACTTTCTCAGTTACCAGCCAAGTGCCAGGAGAGATATCAAGCCCCAAACTTAAAGGCCGAGGATATGATAATGTGCTGCGTGATCAGGACTATCACACACATCAGGGGACGGTGATAAATGGGTATGGAGCAATGGTGGAATGATGATTAGCAGGGGGAAGCAGAAGAAACTATAAGGAAAAAACTGTTCCATTGCCACTTCTTCCATCATGAATGTGACATGACGTCACCCAGGCTTGAACCCGAGGCTCCGCAGTGGGAAGCCATTGTCTAACAGCCTGAACATTGGAGCGACCTTAGTTTATCGCTTCTGTATGCTGTTTCCAGCAATTGGGGCTAATAAACAGCACAACAAGATGTGATGTTTGTAACATTCATTTACCAATATGTACCGTAGCCACGGCTGCCATGTTGCCGTAGAGATTTTTGGTGCGTTCCGAATCTCTGTTTTTAATTGCATGAGTCAACTTTTTGATTTCTTAATTTGAATGTTATTCCTGCGCCCATTCCTATCCTCTACGTCACATGATAAAGACAGGGGGAGCGGCCATATCCAGGACGAAGAAAGGGCACTTCTGCTTGTGTCTATTTCAGCATGTGTGCTGGCACGGCGAGCAGGCTGCCTTGACATTCTCACAATCTGGACCCAACCGCACGCATATCGCTTCAATCATTTGCATGGGGAGAGTAGGCACCTGCAAGATAGAGGGACATTCTCTGTCTCGAAGTTGGCATTCCCGCTTGCAATGTCTGTCACTCCTAACGTTGTGCTACTTTGTTCTCTTTTAGGCCATATAAGATTTTTATATGCAGATAATTGAAAAATAATATTTGTCCCGTCTATGTTTCGTCCCGTATCTGCCATGTTGTTGTGTCTGTTGCTGCTGATAGAAGGAAATTAGAAAACATGGCGAAAAGAAATCAGTCTTATAGAATGTGACTTCGTGTACTCTGGTGGATATTATTGAAGTTGAGGAGGAAACTGCTAACTCCATACTCAGAGTAGAGCTACAGGTCACTCGGGGTTAGCGGTCAGTCAGAGAAGGGAGGGCCAGAACTTGTGCTAAGAGCTAAGCATGAAGAAGTTTGTAGGGGGAACAGGGAGCCTATCGCGCTGGAAAGGACCTGTGGACAGAAACAGAGGAAAAGTTATAAAGGAGGCAAAGAAGTAAAGAGAAAGTATATAAAAATAAATTAATTATAATATATGAGCCCAGTAATACTCGTAAGAAAACAGACTTCGTGTGTTGTAGGGATGTAACTAACACAGATGGCGAGGTATTCCTGTCCGCAGTCCTTCTCTTGCCTTACCTTTAATGGATATGAACCTTTTTTAAGGCGATCAGTCGGTTAAACTGCTGCTGGTCCTCGCCAGCACAATCTCCGACAGAGGGGCCGCTGTTTCTGTGTAGGCGCTACGTTTGTTGCACCATAGTGTCAGCACGAGTATACCGGTTAATGCTGTTCATTGTGAGAACCATACGGAACTCACAGATACACTGTGTGGGCAGAATATATAGCAATCCAGTCCGTACCTCATAGGAAACACATTACGTCTCCGCTACAAAGCCCAACCGGTTAATGCTGTTTAGGGAAACAGTCGCTGTTTATTGTGAGAACCATACGGAACACACAGATACACTGTGTGGGCAGAATGTAATGTTTCTGAATGTTAAAGCATGTGGTACATGTAGTTACTGCTGTACTTGTTGAAGTAAGTAGGTACGCGAATTATAGATCATGTTTGTTTCAGCTCAACATCAGCGTGTGTTCAGTTTGAATTCGGTTTGACAACACGCTCGGCGCTAAGTGATAACAATTCATGAGCTTCCCTTTGTATTGTTACGTAGCTGTATGTGACGTGAGGCCGGACATAGAATTCCCCTGCAGCTGGAAACGTCACTTCCATTATGGCCACATATTCCATTGCGTTTGTTTACCTTCATACGCCTTCAACTGTTTTGCTGTACAAACACATGCGGTTGTCCCAATATATAGAACGAGGTTTCAGGCAATTGCAAAGAAACCTCGACACTCGTTTAGTGTGCCTAATACAGGCGTGACGTAATCCTGGACTTGTATTCGTGAGATTCTCGGTTGTAATCGGTGCACGCGGTAGCGTAGTTTGTTGAGGCACTATGCTACAAGCTGAAGGGTCGCGGGTCCGATTCCCAGTGAGATCACTGGATGTTTCAATTGACATAATCCTTCCGGTCGCACTATGGCCCTGGGGTCGACTCAGCCTCTAGCAGAGATGAGTACCAGAAATCTTCCTGGGGTAAAGGGCAGCCGGCATGTAAGGCTGACAATCTCACCGCTATCTGCGAACCGATTGTCTAGGAAATGTGGAAGCCTCGACGTCTCACACCCCTTTGGGCCTCCACGGTCTGTTACAGGGATAGTTTTCCTTTTTTGTCATGCTTATTGTGTTTCTAATGCAGTGAACTTTGCTCGTTAACTCTTAATACGTTTTCTATTTTATTGAAATGCTGTTTGTAAAGTGACCGCAAGTGAAGCTCGCCGATTCTAGGAACCAGGATACGTCACGTGTAGTACAGGAAAACTTAAAGCTCTGTGCAGCTATGCTTGAAATTCCCACGAACTTACGAATACCGGAAGTTTGTTTAAAACCAAATATGGCAACTTTCTCATCATGACGTAACGGTCTGTGACGTAGCATCGTTAACACTGTGCATGGAGTTTAAGCTGAATACAGTGCTCTCGGACACCCTGAGTTTGTGTTCTTCCGACAGGTTGGAGGACCAGTTTTCACACCCATCCATATTAATGCTTACATTTACAGTTTCAAGATCTGAAGATTTCACGGCGGCTAAAGTTAATAAAATCTTCTCGGCCTACCAGCTGTGTCAGTCTGTTAAGAGGTTCAGACGTTTCGGGGATCATCTCTATCCCTCTTATGGGGGGTCTGTCTTAGATGATGCGACATCTGACCAATTTTATTAACTTTATGGTTTTGTTTTTTTATACAGGCGATGTGAAGACGAAAGGGTTATCAACTCAGAGATGTCTAGCATTCTTCAAATTTCATCTTCCCTTACATTTTCGTTAATCAATATCATTTTGATTCGTTAGTATTATTTCGCCCCCAGTTTGGCTGCGTTTTGTACCGGTTCGCTAGCTGCCTAAGCTAACTTTCTTAGCTAATGGAACCGTCGTGACCTTAGAGCAGACACTTGGATTTTGTTAAGTCTTGAGATGAAGCGGAGGATACTAACCTCTCTGCCTGTCGTACGCGTTGATGCACTCTGACGTCATAAACTGGCTGACGAGCGCTGTTTTACCGACCCCTGGAGCACCTATCATAGCTACTCGATAGGTGATGACTTCAGGGGCAGGCTGTGGGTCCACGGGGATCGGACTGGTCGGCGGCGTGCCGTCAGGGGCAGGTGGGGACGTCAGGATGTGCGGCGGCACCAGGCTGTTGCTGCGGGAACGCCGTCTCCGGAACGAGTCCCCACGGTTCACAACTCCTGCGAACCAAGTGCCACTTTATGGTTGCGTCATTCCTGAAATGTTCAGCAACAGGTGAATTGAATTTTTCATTCTTAGACAGTTCAGCAATATGTGAATTGAATGTCTGATTCCTGAACAGTTTAGCAACAGGTGAATTGAATGTCTGATTCCTAAACTGTTCAGCAACAGGTGAATTGGATGTATGATTCCCAAACTGTTTAACAACAGGTGAATTGAATGTCTGATTCCTAAACTGTTCAGCAACAGGTGAATTGAATGTATGATTCCTAAACTGTTTAGCAACAGGTGTATTGAATGTCTGATTCTTAAACTGTTCAGCAACATGTGAATTGAATGTATGATTCCTAAACTGTTTAGCAACAGGTGAATTGAATGTTCCGATAAGATAGCACTCCCTTTCGCGTTCGGAATATTCTGGATACCGGCTGTCTTAGTATTACTGTCATCTAGAATATGATGCCGTGTAGTTTGGTAGTCGTATCGCCTTGTTTCGGAAGAGTCTGCTGCCTCCATTTTCAGGATATAAGATTAAACTGCAAAGGATTCCCATTACTTCATTCTTAGTCCCAGTCATGGCTCTCCATTTTCTTACCTTCCCACACTGCTCGCTCTTTTACCTTGAAGAAGGAGGCAGTAGGTTCGTCTGAAAAGTATTCATCAGACTACACGGCGATAAAATCTATAGGACAGTGATCTTCATTCCATTTTTTATTTATGCATTATTTGCAGTGCCTCCAGTAGCTCGGAAAATGTAGCGTCGAATGTGAGGATGATTAATGAATTGTGAATCGGAGATTCACAATGAAGGCCGCCGTGGCCTTCATCAAGGATAGAGAAACCCACGGGAAACCTCGATCAGGATAGTCGGGACTGGGTGCCTACGAAAGAGAAGTCAGAAAGTCCACCTCTTGAGGCAGCTCACTAGGAATGAATCACCAGGATGATTTGATGATAATGTCCGGGGCGAAAAACGCCTCGAATCCTGGTTTACTAATTTGTTCCGGATTAACAGACCTGTCCATAACCTACGACAGTTCTGTATTATTTGTGCGTACAAAATTGTTAATTTGTCCATAATTAATCCTTTAAAGCCCAGTGGTTACTATATGTACCATTTGCTTTAACATGCTAAAACTCTACATTCTGCCCACATATTGTATTTTTGAGTTTTATATGATTCTCGCAATAAACAGCGATGGGAGGTGTTTCCTGTGAGGTACAGACTGAACTGTTATATATTCTGCCCACGCAGTGTATCTGTGTTCCATATGGTTCTCACAATAAACAGCGACTGTTTCCCTAAACAGCATTAACCGGTTGGGCTTTGTAGCGGAGACGTAATGTGTTTCCTGTGAGGTACGGACTGAATTGCTATATATTCTGTCAACACAGTGTATCTGTGTTCCGTATGGTTCTCACAATAAACAGCATTATCCGGTTTTTCTGGGGACGGAGTGTCTTTCCTGTGAGGTACGGACTGAACTGCTATATATTCTGCCCACAGAGTGTATCTGTGTGTTCCGTATGGTTTTCACAATAAACAGCGACTGTTTCCCTAAACAGCATTAACCGGTTGGTCTTCGTAGCGAAGATGTAGTGTGATTCCTGTGAGGTACGAACTGAATTCTTATATATCACGTAGACGTAATTCGGTCTTTAAAGGTTTAAGATAGGTTTTTATGTGAGTTTTATGTTGTTGGTTTTGTAGTCTGGTCGTAAAAGCATCAGGCTTGATAGATATATTACTGTTTCGTAATAATATTTGTAACATCACCCGTGTTCTTTGCAGTTCTAAGAACAAGCCTCCGTGAACAGTCTAAAATAAGCATTTTCTTTGACGAATCCTTTTAACCTGTAATTTCTGGTCTGTGTTCCCCTCCAGACCGATGATATTTTCTGTTTATCTCAGATTCGTTGTATTTCAGTCTTTCGCTTTACGTTCGTAAACTGTGTATAAACTTCAAGTGGTTAAAGTTCTCACCAACGTTTCGGAAGGAAATTCTTCCACCATCTTCAGGGTACAAATGTAAGCCGAGCATGAAGAGAAGTACATACATAGGGCGAGGGTGGCCTGGAACATGGGCTGTGAACGAACCAATAGGAGTAAGGAAAGCAACGTACTACTTCCATCAACGTTCTTTTCTTTTAGAGGTTTTCCTCAGTCTCCTCAGGGAAATGTCAGACTAGTGCTTCGATTATGTTCCGACCAATTTCTTTCAAATTCTTTCCAGTTCAAATCGTAGTCTATCGTCTTAGCATTCGTCACTTTGCAGCCTGCCTCCTGGCATTGTCATGAAATAGACCTGCACGTACCTCGGAGGTCAGTGTCGAACGAGCTGCTCTATTTGTCATCACATACCTCAGCCGGACAGGGTAGAACTACGCTGAAAATTCTGTCTGTACTTATTACTTCAGATCGCAGTTTTGATGAAAACTGTGTCCACGCAGATACGCATTTTCACTGAGCTCCCTCTTCGACGTCATTACAAAATTGTTACTCCTTCTCTGTTCGATAGTGTTCTTGCATTAGTGTGTTGCAACGTTTTGACTCCTCGACCTCAGCATCATCTGGCCGACACCCAAGCGTGTTACGTAACAGTCCTTCAATCGTTAATTTCGAAAGCAAATCCACTGACGCACGAAATTAATCTAAACGTGATACAAGAATCCAATCCGTACCTCACAGGAAACACATTACGTCTCCATAACAAAGCCCAACCGTTTAATGCTGTTTAGGGAAACAGCCGCTGTTTACTGTGAGAACCATACGGAACACACAGATACACTGTGGGCAGAATATATAGCAATTCAGTCCGTACCTCACAGGAAACACATTACGTCTCCGCTATAAAGCCCAACCGGTTAATGCTGTTTAGGGAAAGAGTCGCTGTTTATTGTGAGAACCATACGGAACACCTAAATATAGTCTAAATCAAGGTTACTTTACGGCTGGCGGCTTACAGCCAATCAGTTCGTCTTGGTGCCAAGTCCTTTGAGACTCACGACCAGAGATTTTTTCAACTGGGCCTTTGCGGTAATAGTCCTTATGTAACATCCTCTCTGACGAGAAATTCTTGTGAGTAGGCTTGGCCTACGTCACGTGCACGTATCGCACTTATAGCGTGTTTTTGGAATTGTTTTCCTTTTGCATTATGTACAACTGCTGTCAGTACAGGCTTTGCAAAGCAGATCGTGTCCCTCTTAATTCTTTTATGCTACAACGGCAACTTAGTCACTTGAACGGCCGTAAGCTTTACCACCGCAATCCAGTTCATACCTCACAGGAAACACTCTGTCTCCATGACAACGACCAACCGGGGTAATGTTGTTTAGGGAAATAATTGCTGTTTACTGTTGGAATAATACGGAGCACAAATACACTCCTTGGGCAGAATGCAGAGTTTGTAATGATTCTTACAATAAACAGCGATCATTTCCCTAAGCAAAATAAAACATACCCTGTTTCATAGAGTATATGAACTTTAGTTGTCTTAATATTCATGTCAGAAAAGGGAATTTGTTCCGTTTGTGCCCTAACTTAATATCAGTCTCTGTGTGACACTTCATAATAACTTCTTCATTCATCGCTTCCAATTACAATCCACTATTAATTTCAATGATCTCTTGTCAGTTGTCAGTGTTTTCAAACAGTCTGTAGCAATACCTCACACAACATAGCAACCTATCATGATCGTGCAGACAGTTTAGAAATTACCACTTCTCGCTCATAAATCTCACTGCGACAACCCCTGTAACTCCGTGGCTTGATAACACGTCACACACACATGTCGGAGGAGATATCGCTATAGCCCGGGGAACAGTTGCAGCGCGCAAACACACACGTGATGTCATGCTCTTGGGTTAACCTTTGAAATTACTGTGGTAACTATATTCAGCCTGCTTTAACATTTTAAAAAACTGTGAATTTTGTTCACAGAGTATATCTGTGTGCTCCATATGGTTCTCACAATAAACAGCGACTGTTTCCCTAAACAGCATTAACCGGTTTGGTTTGTAGCGGAGACGTAATGTGTTTTCTGTGAGGTACGGACTGAATTGCTATATATTCTGCCCACACTAAATATAACAGTGTGATTGATTATTCATTGGCCCTGAATATGCCCTAAAAGGATTTCATTATCGTAATTGTATCTGTGTGTTCCGTATGGTTCTCACAATAAGCAGCGACCGTTTCCCTAAACAACATTAACGGCTGGGCTTTGTAGCGGAGACGGGTGTGTTTCCTGTGAGATACGGACTGAATTTATATATATTGCTCAGATGAACATCAGGTCTCAAAGTTGTAATGACCTCCGAAGAATCCCTTCCACGATAAATGTATCCGTTGTTCCTAAGAGCCGCTGTATGCGAGAATAGGGGAGTGAATGTGATTATCCACGTGTTGTAGACAATAGGACTAGTTAACTTCAGGCTCCGACTGCCTTCAGCCCTTTTCTCCGGAACAGACAACATTACTCAGTGGGAGGGAAGTAACCTGGCCACCAGAACTTTAATGGCCATAATGGGGACGGGAGGTGCAGTGGGCCGAGCGAGAGTCCAGTCCCAAATAAATGGGGAAAAAGATCAATGGGAGAGGGGAGAAGGGTGGATAGCCCGGATGTTGAACAGCGCGGATGCAAAACCCGCCATTGAACTTGAAGCTGAAGCAGTTCCATCCACTCCCACCCTTCTCATCAGAAACTGAACGTCTCAAGACCCGTCCTCTTGCTGTCCTTTCGTCCACCTTTCATTCTTCCAAGAAGTTTCTTGCTGAATTCCGTATCCATTCCCCGCCACCGTAACCTAACCGTGTGTCCAACTCATTGCAGCCTCCTGTAACAAAGCGGGGCTGACCTGTCCACTTCATACTCCACCATTGCCTATTCCCACTTACTTCAGTCTTCCGAGGTGCAGACATCTCTCCTTGTTTTCACATACTTACAGTGAGAGGTCATGTTTCACACAGTTAACGAAATCATTCTCACGGGCAGCCTGT